GGATCCCTCACCAGTCAGCCCGAAGGTGTTCTGGTAGGCTTTCATCGCGTTGATGGATCCCATGAGGGAGCTGTCGAAACCGTTGAGCGTAGAGACGAGGTACCCAACGCCCATGATCATGTACAGCTGGATCATGCCGCGAGACCATAACTTCGGCTTCTCTGCCTCGATAGCAGCAGCTGCATGCTGTCAGCGCATTCTTCCCGTTATCTCAGATGTAACTTTGACTTACTGAGAGCTACCGAAGCGACATTGGCCTCCTTGACGTTCGCATGCTTGTTCATGTCATCGTCAACTGCACTCAGCTGGTGCGTCACGGCGCCCATGTCTTCACTCTTCTCCGCCATCTTGAATGTGTCGCTGGCAAGGACTGGAGAGCAAGGACTGGAGAAGATCTGGAGGTGTGGAGCAGAAAAACGGGAAAGCTCTCCACTTGATGGCCGATTTGCAACGATGCGCAAGCTTTCCGGAATACTGGGTCTCTTTATAGTATACAGGCTTCTCCGCAAAACAAGTAGCGCATGCATGCAATCTTACCCCATGGCACCGAGGTATCTGCTCTACCTTCCTGACCCGATGCATGGTTTCTGCTCTGCATGCAAACTGTTGCGCTCAGGCGCCACCCGGTTGGCCAAGTATGCTTGTTGTACGGCAATAGCACCGCATTAGGGGCGGAATATTAGCGGGATTACTGGGAAATTTTCAACTTCCAAGCTCGCTATACCACGATGGTACCAAGGCCAAGTAATAGGGCCTTCTGCAGGGGCGGGCCCAGGTCCAGAAGCAGGCCGGTTAGCGGACGGACCTCCCAAATTGTACCAGCTCTGGGGCGCCACGCGCGAAGTCTTTACGAAGGTGATGAATCAAGAATTGAGCCGGTCGGTTTGGCATTGAGTCGCGATGCACCAGGCGAGGGTTAATGTGGTGTAGCTGGACTGGGCAGGCGGGGTGTGGGGATGGATTCCTGGAGTAAAGCCAGCCGAGTTGGGCAGCCGCCCCGTTGATCAGACCCCTTGGAAAGGGAAACCAGACACCTACCTCTGCGAATACAATCGTAAGAAAGTTAATGCTCCTGCAGTGCTTCTATTTGTTATAGAAACGCGTTCGGAAATCATCACAAGCTGTAAAACGCCTGTCCAAAGTTTTCCAATGTTCCATCCAACGGAGTCGGAGTGATCAAGCGAAGAACCCCCGCTCGCGCTTGCGCCCGGACGTCGCCCCATCAACCCCCCGATGCGAGCCCTTCCCAATTCCTACATGCAACATGCGCCGTTTATTGCCGACGGATTCCCTGGTCCTGTCACCTGAGAAGCAGATGGAAGGTCCTCTTGGCATCTACGACATGTGGGCGGACGGCTTCCCTCATCAGTCCAAGTCACGCTGCCTCCCGCAATACGGCCGCCTTACTGTGGGGTGTCGACAACTGTATCAAAGATAGAGGACGTAGAGCAGTGGTTCGTGGAAGTACCATCAACTTTCAATTCATCCATCATGTCTTCAGGTCAGCACCCAGCGAGCGTTCCGGACTGGAACAACCTCGATATCCTCCACAAGAACACGCTGCCTGCGCGCGCATACTTTCACAACTACGCATCTGAGGCGGATGCGCTTAGTTCCGATGTGAACAAGTCTACAACCCACAGCCTCTCCGGCACGTGGAAGTTCCAGCATTCAAACTCGCCTTTTGAGGCTCCGGAAGGATTTGAATCAACCACATTCGACACATCATCATGGAGCGACATTGCCGTGCCAGGCATGTGGCAGCTGCAGGGCTTCGGCAAAGGCCCGCAATATACCAATGTAATCTATCACATTCCGGTCGATCCTCCCAACGTGCCTTTTACCGAGAACGAGACTGGATCCTACGTTCGTAAGTTCAAGGTCCCGAAAAACCTCCAGGACGGTCAGCTTCGACTTCGATTTGAAGGCGTTGACGCAGCTTTCCACGTCTGGGTGAATGGTAAAGAGGTTGGCTATTCTCAGGGTAGCAGAAACCCTGATGAGTTTGATATTACTTCGTTTGTCGATCTCAATGCTGAGAACACCCTGGCTGTTAGTGTGTACCAGCATTGCGACGGAACGTACATCGAAGATCAAGACCAGTGGTGGCTGAGTGGCATGTGAGTATGGTCCATCGTCGAGATGAACTGAAACTCATCATCATAGATTCCGTGACGTATTCCTGGTTGGCTTCCCTAAGGCTTCCCGAATCGAGAACGTCTTTGCCCAGACGCTTCTGGACTCATCCTACACTGACGCCGAACTCAAAGTCAAGATCAGTGCGACTGGCTCTGGCAAGGTTGCAGTAAAGCTGCTGGACGCAAAGAAGCAAGAAGTCGCCTCATCCGAGGCGGATATCCAGGGTGATGGTGTGACTGAACTTAGTATCCAGGTCAAGGACCCACTCAAGTGGACTGCTGAGTCGCCAAACCTTCACCATCTTGTGGTCTCTTCTGGCGATCAAGTTATTGCCCAACGCATTGGCTTCAGACAAGTCGAGATGAAAGATGGACTTATCAAAGTCAACGGTAAGAGAGTCGTGTTCCGCGGAGTCAACCGCCATGAACATCATCCCACTCTTGGTCGTGCTGTGCCATACGAATTCATGAAAGAAGATCTTCTTCTCATGAAGCGTCACAACATCAACGCCATCCGCACATCTCATCAGCTCAACGACCCACGACTGTACGACCTCGCAGACGAGATGGGTTTCTGGGTCATCGATGAAGCAGACGTGGAATGCCATGGATTCGAAAGTATCGCCGATGCCGCGCTTTCGAAGGAGGAGCGCAACCTGCCGTTCCGTGAGCGTCAGCTTATAACTAGGGACAAGGCCGCGGAATGGACGACTGACAACCCAGATTGGACGAAGGCGTATGTGGACCGTGCGGAAGCACTCGTTAAGAGAGACCAGATGCATCCATCGATCATCATTTGGTCTCTTGGCAACGAGGGCTTCATGGGACGAAACTTTGTGGCCATGTACGAGCACATCAAGAAGTACGACGACAGCCGGCCTATTCACTACGAAGCGGATATCTACGCAGACACCATGGATATGTACTCCAGGATGTATCCCCCGCTCGACGAGATCATCAAGTTTGGTCAAGACAAGGAAAAGAAGAAGCCACTGGTGCTTTGTGAATACGTAAGTTACGCCATGTTGATGCTTACTTCTATGACTCACCGTATTAGATCCACGCCATGGGCAACGGCCCCGGTAACATCAAAGAGTACATCGATGCCTTCTACAAGTACCCAACTTTACAGGGAGGTTTCGCCTGGGAATGGGCGAACCACGGTCTTCTCACCAAGGACAAGCAGACCGGCGAAGAATTCTACGCTTATGGTGGTGATTTCGGGGAAGAGGTTCACGACTCCACCTTCGTCATGGACGGTCTTGTCAACTCCGATCATTCGCCCAACGCTGGTTTGATCGAGTACAAGAAGGCTATCGAGCCCGTACAGCTTCTAGAAGTGAATGGTTCAAAGGCCACATTCATCAACCGGTACGATTTCATTACGCTCGATCACTTGGTTTGCAAATACACATCAGTCTCCTCTTCATCCTCTGATGGGGTTACTGGAGATCTGGAAATTCCTTCTGGTATCTCGCCTGGCCAAACCTTCGAGGTGCAACTTCCCACGATCGAAGCTCGCGAGGAGGAGGTCTTGGTTAGCATCTCGTTCCAGTTGAAGGGGGCTACACCATACTTGAAGGCAGGCTTCGAGATCGCAACAGCACAGGTGCCTGTTACTCCGGTGTCGTCCTTGAGGAAGCCTCAATCATCAGGCAAGCAAGTCACCGTCGAGACAACATCCCGCAACACTCTCAAGATTACAACGGAACAAGCCACCTGGGAGTTCAACACCCTCCATGGCAGTCTCACCTCCTGGAAGCAAGGCTCGACCGAACTTATCTCCAAAGCGCCTGAAATGGATATCTTCCGCGCTCCTACCGACAACGACATCCCGCAAGACGGTTGGGACTGGAAGGACAAGCAACTCCACCACGCAAAGCCATTGACTCGCAAAGTCGAGTGGTCACAATCAGGCTCAGACACTTTCAAGGTCACCGTGCACCAACGCGTCGCACCTCCCGTCCTTTCATGGTCCATCGACTGCGCCCTCACATACACATTCAGCGCCAACGGCACCCTATCCGTCCACGTCACCGGCACACCCAAGGGCGAGAACCTACCCCGCACCCTCCCCCGCATCGGCCTCGTCCTGGAACTCCCCGCGCAATTCCAAAACGTCGAATGGTTCGGCCGCGGCTACGGCGAAACCTACCGCGACAGCAAGCTCTCCCAGCCCGTAGGCAAATACACAGCCTCCAGCATCGACGCCCTCTGGGTCGACTACGAAGTACCCCAAGAATCGGCGAACCGCACAGATACCCGTTATGTCAGCGTTACTAACGGCAGCGGCGCTGGATTGCTCGCTCAGTTCGCGGATAAGAAGAGTGAGCAGAGGAAGTTGTTTGATTTCCAGGTTAGCCATTATAGGATGAAGGATGTTGCGGCTGCGGACCATCCGCATGAGTTGAGGAGGAAGAAGAGGGAGGAGGTTGTGCTGAGGTTGGATGCGGAACATCATGGGCTGGGTAGTGGGAGCTGTGGGCCGAGGACGCTGGATGAGTATAGTTTGCTGTGCGAGCCTTTTGAGTTTGAGGTTGTGTTGCAGGCTCCATAAGTGAACATCATCACTTAGGACACAATTCGACGAGGCGGAATATAGACCAACAGTTCATTGCGCGACGATACATTCTAGATTTCCAGGTTCTGACGATTTTTTGGCTTCTCGTATCTGCAGTCCTGATGTCGGTTGTTGTTGTAGGCGGGTCGCGGTAACCTTGCGGGTGTCCTTCCACGTGCGCTACTGCTCTTTCCCTCACCTTCACCTGTCGTGACTGCCAAATTTTCGCCCACTACCACTAGCTGTTTTCCACCTCAAAACCGACCCACTGTCTGATTCTTATTTTCCCCAAGGTCAACGTTATGGCGAGTGGAACGAAGAAGCGACGTGTAAGTTTTAACGCGACTGCATCTCAGTCACGACCCAGCTAACATTCGACAGAAGTCGCAGTCTCCATCCCGCGGTACCACTTCAAAGCGCGCACGCGTGGCTTCATCCGGTACCTCAAATCGCACCCAACACCACGAACATGATTCGCACTCGTCGCGCGCCGGATCTGTCAGAAACACACAGGCGACTTCGTTACCCACCGGAGAAGACTGGGTGTTCCGCGTAAAAGTCATCTCGTCTGCAACCGACCTCGGCAATGATGTGTTCAAGAACGCAGTGCAAGGGCTCGTAAGGATCTGCTTCCCTGAGGGTATCCTCGATCAACTGGGACCGCAGGTACTGGAGCAACATATGCGTGAAGAGAAGGCGCCTGAACAAAACATCGAGAGGATGTCGGAGATCTTCCGATCCGAGATGACGAAGCATATGGTCCCCATGCTGGCTGGAACTCTCGACACAGCTGCCAAAGTCGACTCGGTCCTGAGAACTTTGTTGTCTGCCAGCGCAAGAGCTCATGGAGATAACCTTGGAGAGAACATCTTGGGTTACGTCGTTGCTGGTTTATCCCATATGAAGTCGAAGGCTCCGAGACGCTCCACGGAATGGCTAGCCGGCGGTGGCGCGGCAGCAACGGAAGAAGAAGAGGAGGGCAGTAGTGATGGAGGTAGCAGCATGAGCGATATCTCTGACAAAGAGCCTACGCCACCGCCAAAGGTGAAGAAACCCAAGAAGCGAGATAGGAAATCGCAGCGCACGCGCTCGAAGACACCGGATGACATCCTGGAAGACGTTGAAATGGATAACGATCCACCGGCGACAGTACCTAAGCAACACACATCGAAGAACAAAGACCGAAAGATTTCTTCTACATGGCAATGGCATGTTGACGCGGCAGAGCTCGCAGACGAAGACGTGGCTGAAGCCTTTCCACGCACGAGCGACCTGTTTGCGTATCACGCATTACCGATTTCTCAACGCAAGCTTGGACCCAGTGCATCAAAGAAAGAGATCAGATGTGAGATGCAGTCGCTACTCGATGGCACGCCCCAAGAGGAGTTTGAGAAGTGGGTCGAGAGTCTGCAAAAGCTACTTGATGGCGACCGCGATATGTTAGAGCGACAAGAGGCAGACTCTTCGGGTCACGAGCAGCAGTTGAGTCGCGTAACGCCGGCGCCTATTGATACACGGAGACAGACTGGGAAAATCACGAAGACGCCGTTTGATGTTCAAGGCCCGTCAAAAGCACACACGGACAAGGTTGAAAAGCCTCACAAGAGAACTGTCGTCAAGAACGAAACCACTGACAGCTCAGACGAGGTATCGGATGAACCGGACAATCAGGATGTCGAGAGGACTACACTTGCGCTCCGTCACCGATCGACCGAAGAACACGCCGTTCCCCCACCCGCGCACACAGTACAGACAGCCTTGGTACAAAGTAATAGAGGCCTTAAGAGTCGTGGAGATGTCGATGGAGTAGGTCCACTCAATTTCCATGGGTTCCAACTTTTCTTGCTAATTTTACAAGTCTTTTGGTATGCCTGTGTTGGCCCTGCTGTGGGGATCGGACAACTTGACCACTGAAGAATGTGTCAATGACGGCGCAAAGATCACATCTACCATTATGAGTCAGCTCGAACGCCGTGTCTCGGCCAAGGTAAGAACCTCGAATATATGTGCAATATCTGCGACTGACGATGTCTAGCGCATCGCTGTGGGCGGCTTCGGTGGTATAAACAAGCTTCGCACGCAAGACGAGCTGCGTGAACACATACTGAGTGCCTTCCCAGCGCCTGGAGAACCTGTAAGGTTTCTGCGAATCAAGAAAGGAATTGAAGGCAACCTAGTTCCCTGGGTCGTTGCAGAGCCATCGGCGTTTCCGGAGTTGAAAGGCATGCCGTTCGTCTTTGCTCATATACTTCCAGTAAGCCCGTAAAGATTGCACACGTTCCCATATGTCCACTAATTATTTGTATAGTCTTTACCTATTACCGTCAACCTACTTTTCGGTAAATTTGATGCTTTATCAACATTGAAAGGATCTGAGTTGTGGGATGCTGTATTACCTGCTCTCCAGCGACGAGGGATCACAGAGGTACATCGGTCCATCGGCTGCCACGATCAAGTTACTATCTAACAATCTGCCAGGCATCCATTGGCGCTGTCGACGTCGACTTCATACAACTGGAGAGTCTTACCGATACTAGCAGATACCCGTTTATAAAACGGCGGGCTCTGCTTGAGCGCATTCTACGTCGTGTGATCTTTCCACACAAAGAGAATTTCCCGGAGTTGAAGTCTACATCGGTTGTCAAGACATGGGAACAGATGACAAACCTGAGCTGGTAGCTGAGGTATCGTATTGAACTCAGGAAAATACCTAGCATGGTGTCTGCGACTGATCCAAGCATTGTTGGGTAATCTACCACGAACATTATGAATGAGGATGACACATGCATAGCAGACATCCATTAGATGAGTGTGAACTTCATATGTATGCACTCGTAGTGTCGGCATCAACAGACGACGTGCGACAGACAAACCCCCCACAATACTTTACTCTCAGACTGAAGACTTGATAGTCAGTTACGTGCCTATGTGATGCGTAGACCCAGCCAAAGCTCCCTCCAGTTTGCGACAAAACTATTCGAAGATCACCCCAAAGGTCTTCCCTACAACGTATCTCGAAAAGAAATCGCAGTCAAATTGAGCGTTTCAGCTCGCGCGATCAGACCTTACGAGCGTTCATCGCCCTGCGTGCGTGTGACACCAACCACGGCAAATCAACACTCTGATACCTCTCAAATTGCTTACATTGTAGGCGTCGTAGATGCACTCGTCTTGGAAACGCCAACATCTAGTCCAGAGGAGTGACGGCACGATAAGGCCCGAAATCGTTGGAGAAGGGTAGATGTGGGGTCTTCCAAGGTTCTCCGCAATGTGGGGAACGACACCTTCACATACGCCCACTAGCGCATCGGCACCCATGTCTTCACCCAGCCGAGAAGGCTTGTTCCTGCAGGATACATTAATGGTCAAATGTGCTAGAGATCTAGATCATCTCTTCGCAACAGATGTTAAACATTTTTCACAATGACGCCTTCACCAATGTACATCGACCCTGAATACCAGTCCACACACTTCAACCTCTTCAAAGACTCTATCACTGTTCCGCTAAAGTCGGTACTGCCGCCTGGTGTTGACCGAGATGCATTTGACAAGGCGATCGCGAAATACAAGGGTGTTGTTGGTGATGCGCAGGTGTATACAGGTGATGCATTGACCGAGTACATCGATCCGTACGAGCTGCATGAAGCGGAAGGAACTCGCAAGATGCCCAGTGCAGCCGTGAGACCAAAGAACATCGAAGAGTTACGAGACGTGTTGAAGATTTCGAACGAGTTCGGCATTCCAGTATGGACGTTTTCACGAGGAAAGAATCTCGGGTCAGTACATTCCCACGTACAAACCAGCTACAAGCCATCTAACCATCAACCAGATACGGCGGACCCGCCCCTCGCGTAACCGGCTGCGTAGCCCTCGACCTCCACCGCATGGACAAGATCATAGAAGTAAACTCTGAATACGCGTACGCCGTCGTCGAACCGGGCGTCACATTCACCGATCTGTACGACTACTGCGTCAAAAATAAGCTCAACGTCTGGCCTTCGGTGCCCTCTCTCGGCTGGGGCTCAGTCATCGGAAACACAATCGATCGCGGCACAGGCTTCACACCCACAGGGACGCACCACCAACACATCGCCGGCGTGGAAGCCATGTTGGCGAACGGCGACCTCGTCCGAACAGGCCAGTTCGCCATGTCCAACTCCCCATCCGCACACCTCTCCAAGTTCTCATTCGGACCCAGCATCGAAGGCCTGTTCCTGCAGTCCAACCTCGGTATCGTGACTAAACTAGGTATCTGGCTCACGCCCGCACCCCAAGCCTTCATGTCCTGCTCATTCGACATGCCGGATTTCGAAGACGTGGAAACGATTGTCGATATCTTCGGGCCGTTGCGACGCGACGGGCTGCTTCCCAATACCGTCTATGTGTCCAATGTGACGGAGTGGCTGGGCATGATGGGCCCGAGAGAAGACTTCTGGCCACACGATACTTCGATACCGGATTGGAGGATCAAGGAGTTACAGAAGCAGTTTGATCTGGGTTATTGGAACGCCAAGTTCGGCCTGTATGGCGCGAAGGATGTGATTCAAGCGCATTTCGACGAGCTGAAGAAGATTATTAGGGAGAAAGCGCCGAAGGGAAGGTTGGTTGGTAAGATCTTTTCTGCGCCGGATGGAGAGACTTTGGATCCTACATCTGTTCCTGAGATGGATGGGGGGTTCTTCGTTGGTATACCGACGCTCTGGTCGCTTCCTATGGTGAAGTTCCGCCTGCCAAAGTCCGGGGGTGGCATTGGTGCGCATTACGACTACAGCCCTATTATTCCTTCCAAGGGCAAAGAGATTCTGGACTGGGTCAAGACGGCGAAGAAGATCTGTGAGAAGGATAACTTTGATTTGTTCTGTGACTTCTTTATGCATGAGCGTCATGGTAAGATCGGACTCCTAAGCGGTGGATGATGACATATACTGACGTCGATACCTTATCTAGTCATTTTCGTCAACATGTTCACGTTTGACAAGACAAACGCGATGCATCGGAAAGCGGTGCAGAACATCTTTGATGGCCTGTTCGAGGCGGGTAAGAAGAGGGGATACAGCAAGTATCGCAGCCACGTCAACACCATGGGTATGTGTTATATCTTCTGCCTCGAGATTGCCTGTCAGTCGCTAACTTCTTACCCAGATCGTGTCGCTTCGCTGTATGATTTCAACGATCATGCGTATCGAAGGTTCGTCGAGACGATCAAAGACGCCGTCGATCCTAATGGTATACTGTCGCCTGGTAAGCAGGGTATCTGGCCAAAACGGTTCCGAGGGGATGAGGTATCAAAGGCGCATCTATGAGGCGTAGTATTGGTGTGGATGTCGAAGGAGGAAGCGCAGAAATGGACATGTACATTATTGCTTGGACTTGGAGATAGAAGCCTCCAAATGCATGAGTGCAGGCGTCTCAGCTGGCCAGCTTGGTCCAGTATTCAACGTGTCATTATGACACGTCGTGGTGTTGCCCTGGAATTGCGCTCATCATTCAGCTGATTCAGCGAGATGGGGTCGACAACGAAACATAGACGAGGGCAAGACCATAGCAGCCGAATGCGTGTTTAAGCTCGAAGCCCGATCAATGGGAGCTGCCTTAGGAAATCGTCAAGGCACGGCGTCCACTGCACATCGAAGCTCGGATCGTCACAACAACCAGCACAGAGTATGAACTGAAGAAAGATGTATGTCCAATTATAGTCCTACACATCCACAGAAGAATATGGGTAGGGTGGAGAAGACACGGCTCTGCTAAAAACCAATATTAATCTCCCACAAAGAGAAAAGTTGCTTCCTGGCCATGAAGACGAGCCAGGGAGCAGGCAAGAGTGGGGTAGTAGCATAACAACGCGCACAGCAGCGACGACTCTCCGAACAACAAACATTGATCATTCGGTGTCGAGCACGTGCCGCAAGCTGTGCATCGCGAGGTTGTTGGTGAGGAGAAGAACGAGCCAGAGCTTGGTTTTACGTGTGAAGAATTTAGCCCGCTCGGACCCCCGTCTTTGTCAGCATGGCTTGGCGCTGCCCGCGCGCCTGAAAAGCTCGTCGCAGCTCGGCCTCACCTTCCCTTCCATATTCACAAAATCACAATGGACGATTAATCAACGGCTATACTGAGCTCTTCATCTCTATAGTTGTCATATTTGCGTCACTAGAACAATACCTGGCACTTTTAGGCTTTTTGCTACGATTTCTATGTTGCTTGAAGCCACCTGCGTGACCATACATTCTTTTGAACAGTGTTGATAGTTTCGAACGTGCTCTTTGCGTGTGCTTGACTAGCTGGGAAGATTCCTTCTCTAGAGTACCTGAGAGCTGACGACGGCAATGTCTGTCAGCCTTGGATCGTATCTGCGGCAACGAAGACGGCGGCCTCGGCCTTACCAAAACCAGATCGGCAGCGTCTACGAGTCGCGCCACCCAGCCTGCACGTCGTTCATGCGCTGTCGTAAGCTGTTCCACGCCCATCGGGTTGGGAGGTCGATGATGCACTTTTGGGCGGAGGGCAGCAAGCTCAGACAGGGGCATGATGCCGTATATAGACCAAAAACGCAGGGTTCTGGAGCTTGTGCGGATGCCATGTGTGAAGTGGAACGGATGCATTACTCGTCATCGCGCGTGTCAACTAAGGGCCCTACGAGCTCCCCTTTCTGTGCTCATGTTTTGCTTTGCGATGGACTTGTTCATTCTCTGGTAATCTTAGCTACGCGCCCTCTTGCCGTCCGTCCTGCCCCCTTTCCCCGCGCGTATTGCTCTCGTGCACGTTCTGCCGCTCCCCGATCTTCAACCTCCGCCCGAACCGCTTCCTCCTTCCAGACTGGACGACATGGCGTCGGCCTTGAACAAACGCCAGCAGGCGCGTAATGAGCGTGCGCTGCAGGATCTCATCAAGACGGTCCCTGGAAACGGGACATGCGCCGACTGTGGCGCGCGGAATCCAGGTACGTAGGGCAGGCGCATCTCGTTGGGCTCTCAGATGCTAACCAGGTCATACAGGATGGGCAAGCTGGAGTGTAAGTCTACCCATACCACGAAGCGAAACCGTACCCCTCTACGAGCCGATCATCCCTCGACCGTGAGCCCAAACTGACGTCTGCTGTAGCTGGGCATCTTCCTGTGCATGCGATGCGCGGCCCTACATCGGAAGCTGGGAACGCACATCTCCAAGGTCAAGTCCTTGAGTATGGACAAGTGGGACAATGCGCAAGTAGACGTAAGACTTATTAGTCCTCCGCGGTTCATGTCGGATTGCTGACACCTGTGTAGAACATGAAGCGCATTGGCAATCTCGAGTCGAACAAGACGTATAACCCGCGCAACGTCAAGCCCTCCATACCCATCGACATCGACGAAGTAGACAGTGCCATGGAGAGATACATACGGGCAAAATACGAGCAGAGAATATACTTGGATGCTTCGCGACCGGGCACGCGACAGAACACAGGCAGCACGAGCTCTGAGGACCGGCCACCGCCATTACCGCCGAAGCCCACCGGCCGGTTTGGATTTGGATTGCGAAAGGCCTCCACGACACGCGATCTCACTCCTCCGCTGTCACCAGGTCTGGGAGGGTTCAGCCAACACGACCAGTCGCCGCCACGCATCAACAAGCCTTCTAGGGTGTTCGGCTCTAACATACACACTTCTGGTGATGGCTTGGACTCGAAACTTACAACTCTC